GGCAAGGAGGCGCGGGGGGGGGGGGGGGGGGGGGGCGGCTGCCTTGCTTGCCAAGCGCGCTAAGAGGCGCCTACAAAGGCTGCCAGGAGAACTAGCCCTCGCCAGACCTGACGACATCCTGTCCGAGGCGGTGCTTCATTTCGTTGCAGGAAAGCGGCCTGCACACCGGAGAAAGCCCAACTCTCGGCTCCAGCGAGCTCGGCTTTTTCGCCGCTTTCGTTTGCAGGCGCGCCGACCTGCCTCTCTGGCTACTCGGCTTCTTCCCTTCCCGCTGGAGCGTGGCATCGGATTACCTGGTGGTCCCGTGAGGAAAACGTGCTTGGCCATGCTGGGAGCCTGAATGGGCGCGTCTGTGGGGGAGAGAAGGGGCCGCGCTTCTTTTGCAGCCGGCCTAGAGGGAGCTCTTTCCCCTTTTCTTGGAGTCCTCCCGCCGACTTGCAAGAGGAAGCGAGAATGCGCGGTGCTCGGAAAAAAGCCGGCGCTGCCTTGCAGCCTCTGCCACAGCCAAGCTCCTGCAGCTCCCCTCCTGACAGCCCCACTGAGGACGGCGCAGTTTTCCGGGTTTTCTCTTTCTGAAGGCAGGCAGTGTGGTCTTCAGTTTGCAGGCGGTAAGAGACTGAGTTCTCAGCTCTGGTAAACGAGTTTTGCAAATTTTGGTGTGGTTTCAAAAACCCGCAGAGCTTTTTTTGCCCAGAGGTGAGGCCAAAGGGAGCCAAGGCTCATTCGGTGTACCGTCAGAACTCTCAATTCTAAGTAGCACCGGCTCTTCTGGGTCTCAGGCAGTGTCTTTCTGATCACCAACTTCCAGATTCCCCTCCTTTGAAGAAAAAAAAAAATGGAAGTGTTGGGTATCGACACTTCGACCTTCTGCATGCAAAGCAGATGCTGTACTACTGGGAGAGTAATCCTAAACAGATCTAACTCAGAATCCTACCCAAGTCTATTCAATGATGTTCTTAGAATGGCACTGTGAGTCACATCCCTGCCTCAAAATTATGTGGTAGGTAGGTGCCAGCTCCTGCCAACCTAGCAGTCCAAAAGCAAGAAATTGCAAGTAGATAAATAGGTACCGCCTTGGTGGGAAGGTAACAGTGCTCCGCTGCGTTTAGTCATGCCAGCCACATGACCACAGAAATGTCTTTGGACAGCGCTGGCTCTTTGGCTTGGAAACGGAGATGAGCACCACAACCCTAGAGTCGCCTGGCTTTCGAGCAAGGGAAACACTTTACTAGGTGAGAGTGGCAGTTCCAGGATCTCCCTGTTCACATAGGGATTGGAAGTCTGGGTCTCACAGATTCTAGTAGTACCCTCTGGCTCATAGTCTAGCCAGATGATGATAATTACTTACATGCAGCACATCCATCCTGCACACGGTGGTGGTCTTTAGAACACATCAGAAGCCTGCACTCATACAACCACCACTGAAATGATGCCTTGCTACTAGTTCTGTACTGTTTATTTCACACACACAAAGAAATGTATTCATTCTGTGAGACAGAAACTCCGTCACAGGTTGTGCTCCCCCAGCCCAATTTGAGAAAGCACACAGCAGTCTTGTAGAGGAGAATCCAAGCTTTAAAACTTTATTAATAAAGGGGGGGGGGGGGGATACAGGCACAACAAGGTTTTGAACCCTTGAGTACCCACAGCTCTTCCCCGAGGTTACAATGGGAGACATAAAGTTTTATACCCCCTATGACAGAAATAAATCATAATTATTGGTTCCATCAAATTTTATCATATATTCGTCATACCATTCTGATTGGGTTCCAACCTGTGGGTGGGATTTTCTCAGGCAAAAATATACCTCCTACAGCTAAACAATAGGCTTTCTTCTTTCCAGGCTATGGAATTCTAAAAGTATCTAATGTAGCAGATATGGGTACATAGTGGTGTGTTCTTCATCTAACGCAAGCAAGCTGACATCAGGAACATGCGCAGTTATAGTTGGCAAGAACAAGCAAGGTCACGAAGTAGTATGATTGCCTGTCAGCATTTAGTATTTTACCCAGGATGCATTTAAGCAATGAACCAAAGTGAATATATGAATACATGTTCATGATTGATTTCAGTTACTGTGATTAGAATAATAAAAGGCACTTAACATATGCACCATGGAAGTGTTAAGTGCACCTACTAAGTTAGACTGACTGTTAGTCAGTGTCAGAGTACAAAATGTTTCATAAGCGGTGCATACAACAATTCTGTTTGAAGGGGTCTTTTTATCTGCTCTATGACTAACAATAAAACAAATAAAGGGGTCACAGTTGCAAGTAGAATTCTGAGAAAGGGAGTCAATGAAATGAGCATAAGCAAAGTGCTTTCCCCACAACACAAATCTTCAGTGGAAAGAGAATCAATGAAATGACACAATTCTGAATCAAAATGGCAGTAAAATAGCAGGAAGCCAAGTGGGAAATCGGTGGTATGACTGGGGATCGAGTGGGAAATAAATGAAACAAGAACGGAATGACAGGTCTGCCCTGGGAGGAAAATCAGCACAATGGCAGGGTGTCAAAGAGACAGTGCAATGACAGGGTGCTGTACCCTTAGAAGGAATAACAATATACCATGAACAGGGAACACTATGAGGGTACAGCTCACAGAGTAGATATTTAGGGTTTTCCCAGACTCTTAAAATGAAATCATAATTCAAGATTTGGGTCCATGTGATGTCCTTGCAGGAGAATCACTACCGCTACAAAAAGAGATCTGCTAGATCCCATGCAGCCAGTGAGTAACACGCACGTAGCTATTACACAAAATGCAGTGGCTGAAAAGCCCCTTTATACTGATAATACATTCTGGCTACCAGTCTGTCTGTGGTGGGCCACCTGAAAGAAAGTCTTTTACATGTTCGTTTGTAAAAATTAAGTATTTGGTCTCAAGCTTCCTTACTTTTTGGGAAAAAATGTTATGCTGTGGCCTCAAAAAGTAAGGAAGCTTGAGACCAGTTGCTTTTTGGGAAAAAATGTTATGCTGTGGCCCCAGTGCCAGTTCTTAAACTCTACAGAAGATTTGTGTTGTGTGAAATGCGTTTTGCTTATGCTCAGAATACCTTCCTTTCCTGCTGTCTAGTAAAAGTTATTACCAGACATCACGGGAAGCAACATTAGCTTCTAAAACTGCTTTATTTCCAAACCTAAATCACTAGATTGCAGGAAAAGGAACTCCTTGCATTTACCAAATTATGTTAATCCAGACTGCTCTGGCATAGGAAACCTGGTTTGTTTGCATGGGGTTTATACCAATATGAAGACAAGCAGTTAAGAGGCTCAAAAACCTAGGATTATACTGATAAGCAATTTAGCAAATGTACATTCCTGCAGCATATTTTGCAGTGTCTGCTTCATCAGGCGGGGTGCTGAAAGCTCCATAATAAAGGGCATCATGACATAATCTGTAAGAGAGTAAAGATCTCCATTATTGGTAGAAATTTGAAATGCAAAGTAGATTTTCCTTATTTCTTCCGCTACTGAGGACTACAGTGTTGTTCTACTGGATTATGAATTATAGTTTATCCCAGCAAGGGTAAGTTTACATACCCTGCAAGCACACTGTAAAGCCTAGATGGATTTCTAGAGCTTCGGGTTGCATGAGGGAAATCAATTAGCAGCAAGTTTCCAATTCAATGGCTGAGAAAAGAGGCTCTTCAACCAATTGCTACTGACTTGGGAAAGAACTAAAAAGAGAAAATGAGAACAGTATTAATCTGTCCTGGGCCCTGCTTTGGATTCAGTGGTGTACACAGCAAGATTAATTTATAAAACAAAAGTTCCCAGTCAGAGCTCTAGTTCCTCATGAGTGGGACAAAATTCACAAAAGCTCACAGGTTGGAGATACTCCACATGTTGTAAAAAGGGGTATATTTTAAGAGCATTTATTATGGTTATTTTTTTAGCCCTCATAATTAGTATTAGAACAGTATTAATCTGTCCTGGGCCCTGCTTTGGATTCAGTGGTGTACACAGCAAGATTAATTTATAAAACAAAAGTTCCCAGTCAGAGCTCTAGTTCCTCAGGAGTGGGACAAAATTCACAAAAGCTCACAGGTTGGAGATACTCCACATGTTGTAAAAAGGGATATATTTTAAGAGCATTTATTATGGTTATTTTTTTAGCCCTCATAATTATTGTAGCAATTTATCAGAGCAGGGATTTGTACCTTTGGCCTGCATGTAATCACTTCTAACAGTCTTCAGTATGCAGGCTCCCTGAACTGACCAGATACATGATTGCTGCACTGGAATAACCACCCATGTTCTGAGGACAGGAGGGAGCATTCCCTGCTACATTTTGTAAAATATTCTCCTGCTCTTATTGTCTTAGCGTTCAGGGGCCTTTCAGTTTTCTTCCACAGAACAAATGACTTGGAGTGGGCCTGAGGAAAGGCAGAGGAGGACTGATTCATTGATTCCCATGCTTCAAAACCACATTGCTGGGGAAGACCCCACTTTATTAAGAGGCTAATCACAAGATGCAGGCCTCCTTCTGAGCACCCAGCTGCAAGAGACCTGGAAGAAGTAGGGTCAGATCTCCTCATCTAACGTCTTTTTAGAAGCAGCAACAGAAGCACCTGGAGTTGCTTGGGAAAGAGGGGTTGTAGAACACACTCTGTCTGAAGTCGCTGCTGGCTGCACCAGGGGATAAAGTAGGGATGTGCACAGAATTTTTATTTGAGTTATACTAATATAGTCTTAGCCTTTTAATATTTTGTTCATGGAAGGTGTTAAGAGGAATGACACCTCTTTAGATTCCTTGTCTGTACAGTTGCTGTTAGTTCCGGTTGTTTTCAGTGGAAGATACATTTCTGCTTGTGACATTTTTGCTTCCCAGTTGATTGAAATATAGAAGGGATCCTTCCTGCTAATGTTCAGACTTGTAGGAGAGTGACCCTGTTTCAAAGGCAATAGAAATATACTCATTTGTACAGGGAGGTATGAATTGGTATATGAATGAGTTATTCTTCCTCTCCTGAGATCCTCAAGCAGAGAAGTCTGTTTTAAAATGAAAACAGAATGCGCCAGTGAGGGGAGCTTAAGCCCTCCCGCTTTTACATCATAGCTCTGGGATGATTTCTGCATTTTTCTCCCTTCCCAGGTGACTTGCACATTGGTACCTAAATAGGAGGAAAATGTTGCACATGTGCTCAGCTCTTATTTTAAAAGAGACTTCCTCTGGTTTTTGTTTACATGGTTTTTGTTTTACATGATTTTTCATAATCATTTTCATCTTCTGATAGTTTATTTTCATTCCTGCCATTTTCCCATATTGATTAATCTGCTTCATCAGTTGTTGTATTGAATCCATTGGGTCTTCTAAGATAAGTACCAAATCATCAGCAAAGACTTGTGTCACAGCTCAGGTGGGGTGGTCACCTGACGCTGCCACCACTTTGGTTCCAGGCTCCCTTGAGAAGGCCCAGAGTACCCTCCCAAGACCTTTAGACCTCCCTTTTGGCCAAATAATAAGCGTGAGGACCAGGCAGAGTGAAACAAGGAAAAGGTTTATTTTACAGGAGGTCAAACAACAAGGTGCAGAATAATAACAGTAAGTGGGTGAAAAGAAAAGAAATCAAATGCCCTAACGCGTTTAAATATATACTGTCCCTAGCTCACTATCTGCAGTGGCCTTAGAACACTCACCCTTCCCTCAGGATGAGGGTTTCTTCCTGCAGCAACCTTCCTTCTGGCTCTGCCCTCTGGAAGAAAGAACAACTTTCACTCTTCCACCAGTCTCTTATTCCAAGACCTCCTCTTTTCCTATTGGTCAATTTTGGCTCCAAAACCTCCCATATATTGTCTGTCAATTCATTATTTACTACCATTTGCTTTCTGCTTTGTATATATAGCTTCAATAGCCCTTATAAAATTCATCCCAAACTTCATTATTTTCATCTGTTGAATAATAAATTGCCAGTTAACGTTGTCAAATGCTTTTTCAGCATTCAAAAATATCAAAGCCATCTGTTTCTCTCGATGTGCTTCATAATATTCTAATATATTTAAAACTGTTCTCACATTGTTCTCTAGCTGTCTTTTAGGTAAGAAATCTGCTTGGTCCTGATGTATAAAGTCTATTAGAACTTTTTTCAACCTTGCAGCCAAGATAATTGCGAATATTTAGTAATCACAATTCAGCAAGGAAATAGGTCTGTAGATTTTTTATCTCTTTATGATCTGTGTTCTCTTTATGAATCAATTATATAGTTGCTTCAGTCCAAGATTCTGGTATTTCTGTTTTTTCTATTACAGAAGAAATAACGTTTTTATATGGTATCAGTAATACATCTTCAAATATTTTATAGTATTCATCTGGTAGTCCATCTGGTCCAGGTGCTTTATTTATATTTTGTTTCTTAATAGTCTCTGTAATTTCCATCATTGTTATGGGATCATTCAACATTTTTCTGTTTTCTTCCAAAATTGTGGGTAAGTCCTGTTCATCTAAATACTGTTTCTGAGTTTTTTTGGAGATTTCCACTCTTTTATATAATTGTGTGCAAAAATCTTGAATTATTTCCCTTGATCCATTCTTAGAAAATTCTTCTTTTCTCTCTTTATCATACAATGAGTGGATCATCCTTTTCTCTTTCTCTTCTTAATTTATAAGCCAACCATCTTCCTGGTTTATTGGCATTTTCAAAGTGGCAGAGAGTTTTGCACAGAACAATAAATAACTTTAAAATAATTATGTCCAGTGAAAAGTTTTTTCTTTTCTGTTTGCAGAATTACCTAATACAGGTTCTCTGCCCTAGCCTTCAACTTGTCCATTCTCTCTAGCATATGTAGCCCTTTCTGGGCTGACTTTTAAAATATGCATTATTTTGGGAGACAGGTGAGAGATGTGACTGTTCATACTTAAATGGTTGAGTTTAGATTTCACTGCAGAATTTCTAAGGCTGCTATCCTAAATATATTTACGTCATGCCTGCCCCTGATGTAGCATCTGACAGCCAGGAACAAGGGAACTTGGCACCACAAGCCCCTGATGTGAACACAGAGGCAGAGCCTAAAAGCCAAGAACTGACTCCTTTAACAGAAGACACTGTAAGTCTTGAGGAGGATAGAACCTCCCAGGAGACACCTGCGCCGGATCAGGCTCTGCTTGACTCAAGCAGATCACCACCCGACTCCCCCCCACCTGTGAACCGGCTAAGGAGTCAATGACGACAGGAGTTGCATGAAAGACGCAAGGCTGCACGCATGCGCGGAAGACGCTCATTCAGCCCTGAGTTTTAACAGCGGCCTGACCTTGCTCCATGAAGATAACAAGTTAATGAGCCAGCACACTGTATCAACAAACCTGCTGCTTGAAGCAATTTGTACTGGCAACTTCAGTTGACAGGACCAGATGCTCTGTGCAATCTTGCTCCGGACTCTTTGAAACCTTGACCGTTTGTTCCTCTGCTTCTGAACTCCGGCTCCCTGACCCTTGGCATTGTTTGACCACGACTTCGGCTCTGCGATACTCTGGCTTTACTTGATTTATGGTCTACGATGTATGGTATGTTTGATGCTGGCTTTGTGAACTGTTTTGGACTTGTTTAAATCTCTGTGCTGCTTGAACTATTGGCTGAACCTCGGACTGGCTTTGGACTTGACTTGTTTAACCCACGCTCCCTGGCCCTGCCGTGATACACTGCTATCCTAAATATATTTACTAGGAAGCAAGTCCAGTTGTATCCAGTGGGACTCACTTTTGAGAAAACATGTTGAGCATTGTGTGTAATATTTGGAAGTTCCCAAGTACATTTATGATTTCCTTACAGCGTGACCTTAATTATCAACACTCAAGTTTAGGGGTTGCCAATGGCCGTCATACCAGTTACCTGTAAAGATGAGGCATTTTTCCATTTGGTGCAACTTTACTACAAGCATGTAAGGAAGATTGTTGTTGCATAGGTTTTCACAATCAGCATTTCCCCTTTGCCTTGCTATTCCTATTCTACAGAAATATATTAGGATATGAATAATGATTCTTAGTTTTATATAACACTTTGGAGCTTTCAGATCCCTCACATACATAATCGCTGAAATTTTTATAACAATACTGGAAGATAGATCAGTATTATTATCCTCCATTGCAGAAGCTGGAGAGAGAGGCCTGAAATGAGACACAATGGCTTGCCTAAGGCTACCAATTCCAGCCCAAGAGCACATGACACCTGCAAAATTGCTCTCATTAAGAACTGGTTAAAATGTGCAAGGAGAAGGATGGATGGTGGTCTTTGCTCACAGGTTAGTGCTATCTCAGAATGCACAGAAGGGACCACCTATTTGAAAGCATTCTATTGTCCAAAACTCCCTGCTTATGGTAAGCTAACGTATTGGGGTTACACAGGAATCTTTTTGATACATAGGCATTTTCAAACA